TTCTTAAGGAATAAAGAACAGTTGGATGCATCCCTATGAAAGGTTCGACTTCTCCGGGCTGGAAACAATATACATGTTTTATTGTATATAAAAATAAACTTCCGAAAGAGTAATAGCTTCTCTTTGTGAAAATATGGCCAATAAACCATGCGTCATTATTACAACTTCGACTGCATTTCGCACGAGATCACCGGACGTAGAATTTCAAAAAAAATATTGAGCTCACTTTCGGGGTCCTTCTTATTCTCAATTTGTACGAAATTAATAGGGTTCTGACTTAAAGGCAAAATTCGCGCTAAGACCAACCTAATGAGCCATTGGAGTGGCTAGAAGTGTTGAATACCCTTCTCCGGCGTCCGTACCACCTTCCTTGATCGAAATGCGTCCTGAAAACGCTAAACGCCAAGGAATTATAACAGACTCCGCCAAAGATAGCAGGATCCGCCCACCGCCGCCGCGACGCGACGCAAGCGAAACCGCGGGCTTCGTCCACATTGTAGCTTGGCGTGTCGTAGGCCCTAATTCCAATCAATGAATTGTATTTTTTTCATAAACTTCAAATTCAAGGAACTTTCGCTCATCTTTTTTGTTCCCTCTTTTAGTTGTGCTTGTTCCGAAATCTCTTTTCTTTTTTTAGGAAGTTCATCCGGGACAAATCTTCACCGAACAATAGCACATGGGACCCAGCTCCTTCGGTGAAGTCTACAAAGGCGTCGACGGACGAACATCTCAGGTGAGTGGGTTCAATGCTTTTCTCGATTCACTCGTTGCATTCAAAAAAGTACTCAATGTTCCATTTCTTTAAGGAGCTCTTTGACCTGATATAGTCGTAGGCCTTGAATACCAATGTTATTATTGTATTTATGTCACCTAATATTTTAGTATTTTGCTGAACTTTTTGAGGTCTGGGAACTTGTTGGTTTTCGTGATATCATACTATTTTCATATGTTCTAGGTGGCTGCGACCAAGATAATGTAATTGGAACAGGCTGGATGAAACAAAGGATTCTGCACGGAATTCAGGTAAGATTTTAGAAGCTAACCTTCCCCCTGGTTTTGTAGCGCTGTTTTGTCATGATAGAAGCGGCCAAGTGGTTAGGTATTGTCTGGGGGCCGTTAGCTCCTCAGACATACGGTCTCAAATTTTCGTCATACCGTCAATAAAGTCATTCTTTGTTCTCAAAAAAAAACATCGAAAATTCCTCTTCCGTTTCAGGTGTTCCAGCGAGTTCGTCATGAAGAGTCTGAGGCCGAAGTTGATGAAGAAGTAGATGTGTTGATGTCGTCTGATATAGTGTCAGCCCAGGTTTGTCAAATAGTTGCCATGAGGTCAGTTCTTCATTATTTAATGCTTGAATTTTTCTAGATGTCAACAAAAACGATCACTTTTCGACAAGCATTTCAGGATGGGTTTTTAAACATGCAAGAGAGGTAGTGACTTCTTTCCTGACTTTTTTTTTGTCTGCATCGCTCCAGTTCTTGACATTTTTTCCCTTTTCTTTATACTATTTATATTGAAAAATTGTCCTATGGTAGAAATCATTGATTACTGTAAATTTGGCACCTACCGAAAATTCTCCATACATTTTCATAGATCTGCTAAGTGAGAGTCATTTCATATAAGCATTCCTGTGTTCGCTGCAAATTGTTTGTTTCCTTATCCATCAATGTTACCATGTGCATAGCATAGTATGATTGTCGTAGCATACGTTCTATTCCAGGAGCGAATTGGTGACTATAATGTCAATTTCTATCTGGTGGAAGGAATGAGACGGGTATCGCGGAAGAGGCGGGAGCATCTTACTGCAGACGACATCAAGAAAAACAACTCCTTCATGCAGTCGTTGGCAAGTGGTGCTGCGGTTGGTGATGAGGATTTCAAGGTAGTATTTGCTCAAAGATTTACCTTTCACTTTACTGTCAACCGCTTTCCTTCTGTTGGTCCTCTTGTGTGTGTTTTTTGAATATAAATGTCGCGTAAAGGAGTTTTGTTTCTTTCCTAGAGCCTGCAGCATCGAAAGTCGTCAGCACCACCTGGCCGAATGCCAACAACGTGGGAGGAGAATGTTGGGGCAGCGCACATCGAAATATAGAAGATATATTGCTACTTCTTCACGCCTTGGTAAAAACCAAGCTGGGAAATACAGAGTACGTTTGCAACTTTTGCGTGGTGGTTTAGTATTCGGTGTATAGTGCAAAAAAGGCTTTATAAATGGAAAAGATCTTCATCTTTATCTGGATATTCACTCTTATTTTATCGCACTTAGCAACTATTTTTCTTTTTTGCAGATCTTTTTTTACTCTTATCTTCTAACTTCTTTTGATCACCAGTGTTCTTTGACTCTACAGCGTCTTTTCGACATGGTTAGCATGTTCGTGCTTTCTTTCCCAGCAGGTTTCGTCTTTTTACGGCTTCTGTTTCTAATGTAGTCATTCCTAGCACTGAGGAATTTTGATTAGGTGCGTCTATGAATTTGACGTGGGCGTCGCCGCACTTGAAAAAAGTCATATGGATAAGCTTTTTCCAACATAATGCACTGGATGTCAAAAAACTATGCTGGAAGCAGCTTATTCATACAACTTGAAAAAAGTCGTATGGATAAGCTTTTTCCAACATAATGCACTGGATGTCAAAAAACTATGCTGGAAGCAGCTTATCCATACAACTTCCATCGAGTGCAGCGCTTTCGTCGCGTGTTATAAAAGTCTGTCCGGAATAATGATGAGAGCAGAGAAAATATTTTGTAGAGGATACCTCTATTTTATTTATTTGCGGTGAAAGCTTGTGAAATGGTAATTCTTATTTCAGAATCGTCCTCTTGATAGTGGCCTTCAAGATTTTGCCGGTGTTGTATATTGCTTGTATGATTTTCAATGTGTTCGCTATTATTTACGAAGGATGCGAATGTGAGTTGTTGTTTTATGAGTAGTGAAGGTTGTTTTAATGTCGAGAAGGCATGATTAAAAGGTAGGTGCTGTAAGAGGAGGCACCCATTCGGTCCATAAGTGTGGTAGCCCAAATTTCTATTAATTTTCTTGAGTGAAGAAATAAGTGGAAAAAGGATGTTGTTACTCAAAGAATTCGTATCCCTTTGCAATTTTGCACTTCGATCGACTGAACCTGAACGATAGCCTTATCATCTCGCTTGGGGTTGGTATGATTTCTGCTATTATGGCAAAGTTTGTTATAGCGCCATGGTTGAAACGTCAGTCCACTTATACATCGCCCTTCAAAAAATGGTGTCCAGAAAACGCTTGATTCACCGGAAAAAATGAAAAGGTTAGTTTTATGCAATGTAAAAGCTGTGCACTTCTTGTAAACGAATACAAAGAGACTTTGAGTGCGTAAAAGACGATTTTGACGTCCGCTGATGTTTTTTCTGAAACCAGCCACGCATCCCACTCTGTTTTGCGGATAACTAGAAACAGTGAATTGCATTGGCCATGTACAAATCAATTGTTTATCCTTCTAGACGAATATGACGCTAATTGGCTGACCCCGGATATATAAAAGTTGTAGCTGGTTCGAGCGAGATTTGCACCGGATTTGACCTCCAGACCATTCACGTGTTTATTTTCGCCACCTGCCACCACACCATTTTTACCCCGCATAAGCTCTCCTCCCGAACAAGACTTTTACTTCTGGCTATCCTCGAAGTGGCAGAGGAGCAGTGTGATTTCAAAGACAGCTATCGCGATAGGTAGGGTGTTGTAAATGGTGAAGATCAGATTGAAATTTTTATAACTTGGTTTTATTTCTAGTCTTGCTTCATAAAACGATTCTTTAGGTGCCTCTCTGTGAAATAACTCACGACCAGCGTCGTTTATATCAAACTACCTGACTTCATAGAGTTAAATACTCTGTGGGAGCTTTGCAATTATCCCGACCTAGTCAATGGTGGACCGAATTGCCATAGTTAGTCTTCAGTATAATGTGTTAATCTTAAAGACTGGGTATTTGCAAAAGCTCTATCTGTTTTGATATTATTTACTTCCGCTGTACTGTTTTGCACTCTTGAAGTCACTTTCTTGTCTTTTTAGAGAATCCATCCATTCGCTTATTGGGGCATGAAATTGGCCTGGTCAATTCTTGCCCGAATATCAGTTTTACTTTTTCTTTTTCATATGTACACTATTCTTTTTGAAATGTACCCTATTCCAGTATGAATTGTAGAGCTAGCTTGCTTGGAATTGCAATATGACAAATCGCTTTTACTTATGGCTAATCCTAATACTATGGTCACCATTTTTAAAGGCAAAATTCGCGCTAAGACCAACCTAATGAGCCATTGGAGTGGCTAGGAGTGTTGAATACCCTTCTCCGGCGTCCGTACCACCTTCCTTGATCGAAATGCGTCCTGAAAACGCTAAACGCCAAGGAGTTATAACAGACTCCGCCAAAGATAGCAGGATCCGCCCACCGCCGCCGCGACGGCCAACGCAAGCGAAAGCGCGAGCTTCGTCCACATTGTAGCTTGGCGTGTCGTAGGCCCTAATTCCAATCAATGAATTGTATTTTTTTCATAAACTTCAAATTCAAGGAACTTTCGCTCATCTTTTTTGTTCCCTCTTTTAGTTGTGCTTGTTCCGAAATCTCTTTTCTTTTTTTAGGAAGTTCATCCGGGACAAATCTTCACCGAACAATAGCACATGGGACCCAGCTCCTTCGGTGACTACAAAGGCGTCGACGGACGAACATCTCAGGTGAGTGGGTTCAATGCTTTTCTCGATTCACTCGTTGCATTCAAAAAAGTACTCAGTGTTCCATTTCTTTAAGTAGCTCTTTGACCTGATATAGTCGTAGGCCTTGAATACCAATGTTATTATTGTATTTATGTCACCTAATATTTTAGTATTTTGCTGAACTTTTTGAGGTCTGGGAACTTGTTGGTTTTCGTGATATCATACTATTTTCATTTGTTCTAGGTGGCTGCGAAAAGATAATGTAGCAATAGGCTGGATGAAACAAAGGATGCTCTGCACGGAATTCAGGTAAGATTTTAGAAGCTAACCTTCCCCCTGGTTTGGTAGTGCTGTTTTATCATGATAGATACGAGGGTCCAATTCTACTTTGTAGTTCAAGTGCGAAACAGGTACGTATCGATCGTGCGTTCGCAGTTTCAAATGGCATGCTATCGCAAGGTCGCTACGTACCTCTCACGAAGCGTGTGGTTCACTAGTACAGAAAGCGACTTTCTGTGTTCACAGCGCGAAACATTGTTCGCTGCGGGAACCTCAGGTTCACTGTACATAGTAAATTAATTTCCCATTGTTTTCTCTATTTGCTTATAATTTTTTGTAACTAAAATTTTGAAGCTTTGGTGTTGGGCTTTCTTAGGTTGGGGGGGGGGGGCCACGCGGCGGCGCGGCAGTCTGCTCACCTGGGCTCTCTCGAGCGAGACAGTGTAAACTCGAACATTCCAGCTTTTCACGCATGTCAAGTGACTGCCCCCACCCCCCACCCCCTAGACTGCCTACACTCCCCCTGGCCCACGGATTTCCGAACATGCCAGGCGAGCAGACTGCCGCGCCGCCGCGTGCCCCCCCCAACTAAGTTAGCACCGTCTTTTTCTTTCAGAGTAGCGTTGTCGTTCTTGGAACGTAAAGCAATTACATTCCACTTCAACTCATTGAATTTTCACTGCACTTCTCTAAAATACCGTTTCTGCAGAGGCTACCGCGCTGTTGCTGGCTCACAACACACCGGTGAAGGTGAAAAACTGTGATGGATGGAATCCATTAATGGAGGCCGTCAGTTATGGCGACAGGCAGATAAGGTGAGAAGATAGATGTCGATCGGTACTTATTTTTTTGTGTGACTTAATCTTCTGTTGGAAGATCTTTCATGGCAAAGGTTCATGATTGAAGGTGTCAGATAATCAATTTTACTAGCTTTTTCGCATTAATAGGAAGGATTAAGGTATTTTCCTGCTTTTGTGTAGGCGATGTTTTTAGTAACGGAAATGTTGCGGAAATTGAAAGCTCAGTCTCGTATGGGGATGACAAGCCGTAAAGCGCATCTGATCAAAATGTTAGGGGATATTGGCGATTTTTACCTCGAACTAAAGTGGGACTTCCAAAGTTGGAGTAAGTTTTGAAGCCCCAGTTTCTTCGTTTTCTCTTCATTATTCACCACGATTTGCTTTACAGTTCCTTTGCTTTCACGAATGCTCCCATCTGATGTGTGTAAAATATATAAGAAGTGTACTCAGCTGCGTATGGACACAACACTGGCGGATTTCAAGTGTGTACTTTCTGATCTTAAAATCTAGTAGAAAATCTATATC